AGAATAATTTATGTTATACTTTGTTATTGCTACAGAAGAATATTTATTTTATTATTTTACATTTACAATTTTTTTTCCCGGGGACCCTGTGACACCCCGTTGAAGAGCCGTAGGCTGGATCTCTTAAGATCACACTGCTGGGCTTGTAAGGCCGTGTTACTCCTAAATTTCTATCTTTTTCAAAGAGAAGATATAAAACAAAGTTCTAAGCTAATCGACCTTAGTATTCTCCGTTTTAAAAAAAAAAAAAGAATCGATAAAGAATTGAATCGTTAAACAGAATCGAAAATGGAATCGTAAAAATCTTATCAGTACCCATCCCTAATAGTGATTGACATTAATGATTCCCTCTCAAACGTATTAATTAATTTTTTGCCTGAATTAATTTTTTTCTTCAATGTGGGTAATTGTCATTGTAAAAAAACACTTACTTGCTCTGTGTGTTTGGTACTTTGGATCCACCCATGAATGAAGACTTCTTTCTGCTGCAGGATCAAAACATTAAATTTGATAAATGTCTTGATTTAATTTACTTTATTCTTGTCAGTGAAGTGAGACCCACCTAATAATATCTGGTCTTTTGAGGAAAATTAAGACAACCAGAGCGACCAGGAGACCAAAAAGAAGCACACCAAATACGGACCCTGCAATAACTCCTAAAGAGAGCAAAAGCATAGTTAAAATGCAACAAAGTTAAAAAGTTTAGAGCTTTATTTTACACTTGAGTGAAATGAAACGATTTGTAATCAAGTCAAAGTTGAACATACTGTATACTGTTATGATTACAAGCAGTAACATGGTAATGTAGTTACTTTTACTCACCCCTTGGATCAGTTTGGCAGTAAAACACATGCGGTTCAGAACTCCTCACCCCAGACAGTGAAGTTACAGACACCTTATATTTTTTGGCAGGTTGGAATCCATCGATTATGATCTCAGTTTCAGGACTAGCTACTGTGTGAGTCTTTCCAGCCACATTCACCTCCGCATTAGTCCACTCGCCCTCTGGAACTGTCCATTTAATAAGAACAGAGTATCCAGCTGCCCAGTACTCACAGTGAGCATTTAGATTAGGAGGAACTGAGTAAAACAAGAAAAAGGTTTTACAGTCATAACTAAAGCAGAAAATCTATGACTTATAGCAAATATAATGAAACTTTTTATACTATAAAAAAGAGTGTATAAAAACTGCCTGTAATTTTAAAATTAGTTTTCAACTAGAAAGATTATTTGCCTTATGTTGAATTCAAAGCAGTCCTCTTATTTTAAACATTTTATAATTTTGGGGATTTTCATATAAAAACTAGAAATAAAGACCTCAACATTGACACATTAGATATTGAAAGAATTACTCATTTTCTGCTTAAAGCTTTTTAATTTCTTGAGCTAATTTATCAGAACGAATTGGTCAGTTAATAATAAAATGATACCTGGATGAAGCTCATATATTAATACTGAGTCAATGAATATAACTGTGTTAACCTGCGGCATGTAGATGGTGAATAAAAGGTGTTTTGTTGCAATAACCTTTTTCAAGACTAAAACAATTGAATGCAAGGGAAAAAACTAAAAATTAAAAACTAAATTAAATCAATTCACAGATAACCTTTCTGTAACCAATATGACTGAATGCTTTAAGATCTCAAAAACTAATTTACAGATTAAAAATATGTTAGTCCTTCAAATGGTTTCTGTTGTACTCACGAATTGTTAATTTGTGTTCACACTGCAGGAAAACTCTGGAAGACTTTTCATAGACAAGAGAGATATTATAGGTGGCACCAGGGTAAAGTCCAGTAAACGACACATTTTCACGTCCAT